TGCAGACAAGCAAGGAGCAATTTGGAATTGGCCACCCATATTAACGGATAATATGAAGTAAAAATAACCTTAAATACACAACTATAATTTTTATATTCTCTAATTTTCCCTACTTTTTTTAAATATTACATAATTCCCTATTTTTTTTATTTTAGTATAAGCTTTTAGATACATTACACTCTCTCTCCTATAATACACATTTACCAATTTTAATGCCTATTTTTTCTCCATTAAAACACTCAACCTCTTAAATCAGTTTTTGAATTTTAAATTTTTTCCATTTAAACACTCAACCTTTTAATCATCTTTTTAATTTTGAATTATTAAATTTAATTAAATTTAAATAAAAGAACAAATTTTGAAATTTTGAATTTCAAAATTCAAAAAACATAGAAGCAGGGTTCCACTGCATTCTACCGTTCTTACCAAGTCACGTTGCACTTCTTTTTTTTCCTTAATCGTCTTCATCCCTTCATAAATTTGAATCTTCTCAACCCAGCAGATTTTTCTATTTTCTTCTTTTTATTCTTAATCCATATTCGACTATTTCTTCCTAATATTGAATCGTAAGAACCCAGACCCTTTTTATAGTTAATCCATCATCAATTCATATATTCTTCTCTTTTTCGTTTTTGTTAATTGTTCTATTACTTCATAGTAATGGATCCGTCAATCAATAGAAGGATATATGATTCCGATGATGATAATTGGAAAGAAAATAGGAAAAAGTCTTTGCATGATCCTATGAATCTTCAAAAGGATTCAAACAAAGACCATGGAGAAACATCAAAGGTTGTAAAAATACAACCAAAAAGGAAAAAAGAAGCAGCAAACACTGTTGTTAGGCCTACATTGTCTCGGGTTAGTATATTGGTACTTAAAAATGGTGTTGTTTAAATTAGTAAAATTTTTAAGGAATCAAGTGTGCTTGCTGATACATTTTAAAAAGGGTGTATAGTGTTTTAGATGGTCAACTGATACGTGAATTTGTTGTGTTTCATAATATTTTATATGTATCATTAGGTTTTTGAAAATTATTATAATGTATCATTCAATAAGTGTAGTAAAGTATAATCTGTGCTTGATGATACATGTTGAATCTGTGTGTACATTGTTTAGTAAATGTAATGATACATGTAGTAGCTATGTATCACATGTTCTGCATGTAGTATGAATTCCTGTATGATATCATGTATCAATAAGGTATTAGTTGTTTAGTTGATTTACTCATACATGTTTTGAAACTTGTTATAATGTATCATTCATTAAGTTTAATAAATGCTTAATCAGATATAGTTGATGATACATATAGATTCTTTGTGTATGTTGTTTAGTCGCTGTTTATGATACATGTATTAGACATGTATCACATGTTATAATGTTTTATTTAATTCAATGATACATGTTATAGACATGTATCACATGTTTTTCATATAGTATGAAATTCTGAAAACTGAAACCATGTATCATTAAGTTATTAGTTGTTTTATTTAGTAGTTATATTTCTATATCGTTTTAATTTGCGGTTTTATTTTCAAATTGCAGCCACTGAAGTACAAGATTAAAAAGATACCAACACATCCCATAAGGTTTGCTGTCAACTTTAACAACAATTTCCTAAAGGACTTTGAAAAATACGTGGGGGATAATGTTATCCAAATGTTTAAGGATACAATTTTTGGACCCTTTTTAGACATATCTAAATGTAATTTTCAGGGCCAAATAACTAAGTGCTTATTGCTTTTAGAATTGGAACAAAGCAACCCTAATATGTTGCATATTAGACATTCCAACGGGTGTGTCCTGAAATTTGGTATAGATGATTTTGCATTATTAACAGGACTTAAGGTCAGAGGAAATACCAATGATTTCAAATACCCAGAACAAACTAATTGTATGCTTTTTAAAAAGTATTTCCCTGGTGCAGTCAATAGTGTTACAAAGCATCAACTAGTTCAAAGGTTTAAGATGGGTAATTGGGAGAGCAATCATGATGCACTCCAAATGTCTATACTGTTCTTTATTCATACATTTGTATTAGCTTCTATTGATAACACAGCGATATCTATTGTCGACTTTCTAATGGTTGAAGATGGTAGATATCAACATTTTCCTTGGGGTCAGCTATCATTTTCCAAACTAATTGGTTCACTTAGACAGGATTTTGACGTTAGTAAAAAGTTGTACCGATTATATGGGATGCCATATGCACTAAATGTTTGGATATACGAATGTGCATCCAATTTAAATTCAGAAATAGCTATGAGAGAACGCAATGTCATCCCAAGAATATGCAATTGGAGAGTTGTGTCTGAAAAGGCAAAGTTTGAAATGCTTATGTCCACCATTTTCCAAAAGGTAAAATTTTATTTTTGTATATGGAATATCGTTATTTATGTCTTTGTGATACATTATGAATTATTACTGTATCTAACAGTTAAATTATCTTATATGTTTGTGATACATTTAGAATGCATGTTCAAACATTGTCCCAACAGCAGAGGAAATTGAAGCTTTTGATATTGCTCAAGTTGAACATGCTCATTCTACATCAATACCATTAGTACAACCAAACGAGCAAGATGATTTAGATGATTTCTCCACAAAACCGCCAGAACAGTTATTGAGGACATATTCTAGAGTGTCTGATACATCTCCTCCACCACCGCCAAAAAGAAGAAAAAAATCGATTATTCAAAAAAAGAAGGTGTCAGAACAGAAACAGCCTGATCAATCAAATGTGTCTCCGACACCGGATGATGATGTACATGTTTCCATGTCAAGTCTGCCTCAACATTCGAATGCTGATGATGTACATGGTTCTGTTCCACAAGTGTCACCGAAATCGGCTGCTGATGTACATGGTTCTGTTCCAGACGTTTCTCAGAACCCGGCTGCTGATGTTCATGGATATGCAGATTCACAGAATGTCAACAATATAATTCCTCATATTGAAGAGTTGAAAGGATATTTGAAAACTTACGTAAGTAAATTATTTTGTAATTTTTAAACAAACTTTTATTTATCCTAAATGTATCTACAATTTTTAGGTTGACAAGAAATTTGAGGAATTGATTATTTTGATAAAAGCAAATCACTCCCAGCTGATGCAATCTATTAGCAAAGAGAACATCAATTTTCAGGCTGATACAAGCACATATCAGTCTGACAAACAAACATCTCAGCAAATACCGGTTGATCTCGATGATATGGGTGGTGTAGCTGAGGATGGTGGTGGTTTTTCTGGTAAAAATAGTGAGCATCATATCGTCGACGATGCAGGGGATGTCGATGTGGATGGTGTTGGTGTTGCCGTAAATGAGGGTGAACCAATAGTCACTGATCCAAAGGTAATGTTTATGATACAGTGGGTATGTTGTGTATCATGCACATATAGTCAATGCTTTGTATCATGATCATTTTTTTTCTCATTTTATATTCTGTCATGTATCATTCATATTTAATCAATACTATGTATCATGTGATTGTTATCAATGTTACGTATCAGCACAAATTATATTAACAATTTTTATTTCAAAACTGCATATTCAGGATGGTGACGCACATCAGTCGCACCAAGATTTAAATGAACATATCATGGACCAAGCCGTTGACGACAATGTTCATCACAACATCCCTCATGTGTTGCCCGAAAAAACAACAACAGATTCATCGGTACATTTTTCAATTTTGATTTATGACACACAATTTCATTACACACAAATTTATTCTAAAAATCATTACATCATATTATACAGGATTCTTCAACTTCAACAACAATATCGCCATCAACTCAAGCAGCAATAGAAGCGCTTATCAAAGATTTGGGTAAAGATGCTACCAATTCTAGACCATTATATTCTTACGATCCAAAGAATATAACTAGCAGCCAGTACTTGTTGACCGACAGTCAATTACCCACTGAAATTCCAATAACGGGGATTGCTGTTAAAACTGATGCAGTCACTCCTGCGCATAGAAATAGAATGCCTTCGAGAAGGATTCAATCTCCATATTGTACTTTTCTTGGGTCAAGCGAAAAGGGAAAAGAGAAATTGAAGGATATGGCTCGACTCCATTTCCCGTTCGAAGGATGTGGCATTGCAGATAAAGTTTCACCGAAACTGATTGAGGATTACATGAATTGGTTGTTGAGGGGGCTTCTAAAAAATCATAACAATAAGTAAGTTTTATACATTTTTTTTCTCAGTGTTAGGCGTAATCATTTTATATACAACTAATTCATTATACTTTGTTATATAAAAACTGTAAATAATTGAGTGTTATGTATCATGTGGATACATTGAAAACTTAAGTATCATATATGCAGGAACCCATCGGACGATAAATACAGATCAAGATCTTCTCCTTTTGGATTTACGATGATGGACTTTGTTGTTGCTTTTCCAATGAACAAGAATTGGTTTTATGCCATGTCACAGCCAAACAAGTGTTGGTCTGATGAGGTAAAATATTAAACTATTATGAATATGTATCAGTCATAACTATATTATAACGTCATGATACATTATCTATAAGTATCATGCTATTTAATTAGCAATGATACATTATGTATAAGTATCATACTATTTAATTTGCAAAAGTATCATACTATATTCACATAATTATATTTTTTTTATATTGTTTAGATGTAAATAATTTCTTACTCTGTTTTCATTTTGTTTATAGCACATCGATGTGATTTTTTACTACCTTCGTAAAAAATCAAAACTTTGTAGCATGGATCAATACAGATACACAACAACCCACTGTTTGTTCATGTCACATGTAAAAAACTGTTATGATAGATATTACATGGACGATGATGATGATAGTCTTACTACACAAGAACATATTGATCGCGCTTCAGTTGTATCTGTACATGAGAGGTCAATAATTAACATCATCAAAGGGTTTGGAATACCAGCTGCTTTACCATGGCATCTTGTAGATGAGGTCTACATCCCAATTAACTGTGATCAACAATTCCATTGGGGTGTTGGCTGTTGTTGAGTTGAAAAACAGGTTGATAAGGGTTTTTGACTCATCAATTAGCACAAGGAAACAAACAATTCCTCATGAGATCAAGATGTTGTCTAAAATGCTTCCTTCATACCTACTTGACAGTGGTTTTTTTGAAGAAAATGAACGCACAAATTTTGCTGATTGTCAAGCATATAAAGACAACAATAATGGATCACTTCTGGAGCCTCAAGTTCCTTTCATGATAGAATTTGCACAAGACATCCCTACACAGGAAAGCGATAGCCTGTAAGTATCAAGAATTTTTTCAGTTGCCCTTTTTAATGTATCATTAAGTTTTTAATTTATTCTGTATTTTTTGTAGAGACTGTGGGTTATATGTTACTGCATTTGCCGAGTATATCAGTGACCAAATCAATATATCTTATGCTGATTTAATCCTGATTACCTACGTCAAAGATATGGAGCATTGCTGTGGAGTTATGGAATTGAGAAGGCTAAAGTGCGGATATGTTAGCGACAATGATGATCCACCAAAATCCAGGGGCGTAGTCACACCACCACCAGAAGAAGATTTAGTTCACATAGCGTAGCATTTCATGATAAAACAATGTTTTAATGTTATATTTATTATTTTTATATGTTATTGAACAACTATTTTTATCCTTTTTAATGTTATTTTTTGGTTTTGTCAATTTCCATGAATATTTTTTTCACATTACGTAACAAATTTGTTTATATTGAAGATATAAATATCAAATGATAGACATAAACATTTTAAATTTTAATTAAAAATAGACATAATAAATATACTGACAAAATCAGGTTTAAATCATTTAATAAAGTATAATCAAAGTATTTATAATCAAACATAGACATAAAGATTTTTAAATTTTTATTTAATCTAGATGATACACTGCCAAAACCAAATGATACATATGTAACAGAAACACACTAAAAATAACTGATACATTGGCCAAACCGTATGTATAATGTACAATATGTTACACTCTAATCCTTAAATTTTACAAGATACTTACGTAAATTGAATAGCATATTCATATGAATTGCTATTATTTTTTTAAAGGAAAGTTATTTACTGTATATTTCAATAAAAGCATATCAAAAAAAGCATTACACAAGTTAAATTATATAAATTCACATGATACATGATTTATAGTCATTCTAAAGTACTCAATAACATTAACAATATATTTGTATTTTTTATCTAATGGAGATGTATCATTGTGCAAACCAATGATACACACTAAAAGTACATGATACTTTATATAAACAATGTGTACAAAAAATACACAATAAATGTACATGATACACTAGATTAACCATATGTATCATGTACATTATGTTATCTTACTGTAGCATAAGATTTATATATTCAAAACAAATATTGACACAAGTATTTTTATCAACACCAATAATAAGAAAGTATTTATAATCATAAGCACGACTTCAAATGTAATTACCACATGTTTGTACGTTTATTTATCTAATCACAAAGTGTTCAATTTGCAGTCGTAATTAAAACTGAAATTCATTTAAATGTTTACGTGATAAATTATTCTTTATATCATAGAAACATTACGACAAATTCACTTCTCTTTTGGGTAGAAAGTACAAGTTCTTCCGTTGTGCCCTTCTTGTCCACATTGTCCACAACAATTTGTGTTCACCGAAATCTTTTCATCTGCATTCTTTCTTCTTCTTTTTCTTGGTCGTCCAGATGATCTTCTGTATCTAGGTGGATACACAGTTTCAGCTACCACGTGTTTAGGATCTGACCAATCTTTCTTATCTGGCATTGGCACCATTGGAATTTCATATGTTTTTGCCAACGCATCAGGCTTGTAATAATCAGAGCAATACGGATTCATATCGGTGACATTCTTTTTTCAATACAGCTATTGCATGTGAACAAGGTATCTCATCTAGTTGAAATCTACCACAACAACATACTTTCCGCTCAAAACAAACAATATATCTTCTTCCATTTTATAAACCGAGAAAATAAACTCAGATGATGGAACAACCTGTGTACATCAAAAATTTTAAATATATAACTTTTAAAAACCAAATCATGTTAAAAAAGCATAATGATACACAGAATTAGATATATATAATATAAAGTATCATATAATGATACATACCTCCATTTTTGAACTTTTAGCTGCGTTTATAATCAACAATTCCTCAAATTTTCTACCTAATGTGTCCTTTGTGTATGAGGCTACTTCTCTGTTTTTTGCAATGCCAAGATCCAAAAAGAATTCTAACCTCTTCCAAGAATTCTAATATAGTTAATTGGCGTGCTTCAACAAGACAACCATTGATACATTCTGCAATGTTTGAAGTCATCATTCTACCTCTGTTTACTGTTGCATGAACTCTTGACCACTTTTCGTAACCTGCATATTCAAGGTACTCCTTAACCCTGTGATCAATTCTATCAACCTTAGCCATCAACTTATCAAAATCTTCCTTTCTATATGCCTTGGCCATAGAGTAGAATAGATCACTTATGGCCTTTCTGCTCCTTTTGAAGTTTCCACATACATTCTTCCAAAGATGCCAGATGCATGCATAATGAGGTACATCGGGGAACACAATCCTTACACTCTTCATGATACTCTCATTTCTATCTGAAACAACACACATATCTTTTCTATCGCCAAATGCATGTTTGAACTGTTCAAAAAACCATTTCCACGAACAATCATTTTCGGTGTCAACAACACCATATGCCAATGGAAATATGCAACCTGATTACACACACATTATATTATTTGATACTTAATATATAAAAAGACATCATTACTATAAATAAAAAATACCTGCGCCATCAAGTGTGCTTGCTGATACAAATGTCCCTTTGTAAGCTCCACTCAGATGTGCACCATCCACAACAACTACTGGTCTGCAGTATTTAAATCCCCTAATGAATGGTCTTAAGGCGATGAACAGATACATAAATTCATCCTCTTCAGTCTTATGCATTCTTATATAAGAATCTGGATACACAGTTTTTAACATGTGTATGTATCGCGGCATCCGTCTATATCCAGCAGATGATTTTCCTCTAATCATGGAGAGTGCACGTTCTTTAGCACGCCATGCTTGCTGATAAGATATTTCAACACCATAATATTCTCTAATATCATCAATTATATCCCTTGGTGTATAAATTCGTTTATAATTGACCAATTTTGGAGCTGTCACTCCACTTACAAATTCCACTGTTGCTTGGACTTTGGTTAATACCCTCTCCCTCATCGGACACGTATGTTCACTATTGAAATTTCTAACAATGAATATATCAGATTTTTTCCTGCACGACGCCTTCATAGTCCAACCACATTTGTCTGAAAAGCATACCAACACATAGCTGCGTACATTTTTTAAGCATATTAATACACATATCAAATACATCATATATAATATATTCAACAATAATGTTTAAATTAATCAAACAATGAATCACACAAAAAGTATCAACCAATTTTTAAGAAAAGTATCAAACTTTAATGAAATTTATCCACTATTTGTGATATGACTGTTTAAAATGATACAGTCCTTACTATATCAGTAGTAGTACTTTCAAGTATCAAAATACTTATTTCAATGTATCAAAAACAAATTCCTGAAATGATGATACATTAGATTATAAAATAACATATGAAACTTGCAGGTTTTCATATAGAACAGTAATGTTTCATGTACTAATTAAATTATAAAACAACACATGATACATTAAAACATCAAAATACTGTCATACCTTTGTTGATCAGACCTCTTCACTTTGCAGTTGAAGTTGTTCTTTATCTTATATTTCGTCATCACATCTACAAGTGTTGCTTTATCCTTGTATATCTGACCTGTCTTCACATCAACAATATCTGAATTTATTATAACATTTGCAACTCCAACTTCTGAATTTTCATGTGTCTCAAATAAGCTATTTTCAACTATTGCCAAAGCCTGTGTATCATTTGTTGTGCGTTCTACACACGTTATTTCTCCACTTCTTCCATCAAAGTTATGTACAGTACCACTATTCTTCTCAATTGTGTCAATACATAATGGATATATTGAAAATCCAGGCTCGTTTTTTTCAGTTCAAAATATAGTTTAACACTCATATCGTTCTTAGGTTTTATCGGACAGGAGTTACCTTCTACAATGTATCGAATTTCAATTTCTTTCCTTGATACATCAATGTCCAACTCGGCCGCAATTGCTGCTTTGAGATTAGAAAACGAAATTGAATCTCCAACAACGATTCCATCAATTTTGTAATTTTCATACTGCAATTCGTTCACCCAAATTCCGGAATGTCTAATCAAAATCGAAGTATTCATCTTCAAAAACCCACTGCAACAACAAAAAAATTTCGGCAACTCCAATTGTTTTCTAAATAACTGATACAATCTTTGATTTTCAAATTATGAAATTAATATCCAATTAAGTGCTGATTTAATGCTGATTAATGATCTGTTACCACAATTTAAGCTGTTTTAGTAACAGCTGTAAATTGTCCAATTTTTATCCCCTATTTTTTCTTAACAATTTTAAGTTACTATGTATCATTTACCATGTATCACAACTTTCTAAAGTATCACGGCTCAGCACTTTTAAGGGATTTTTTGTAATTAGTAAACTTGTCGGGACAGAATGTAATTATTGATTTACACTATGGGATTCCTTAAATTTATACTAATATGAACTATGTTTGTAATTTAGCAAGTATTTCTTTTGAGTTCAATTCTTCAGGCTACCGGTCTTGTATGGATGCATATTATATATAAATAAATTTAACATTTTTAAAAATTAAAAAAAAAATAATGGAGAAGGAGATGATATGTGAGACTTTTTAATTCGTTTTTGATTTTTTTTTTTTACATTCATGCGTGTCATTTGAGTGAATGCAAACATAAGGACAAAAGGGGTCAAAATTGTCTCTTTACAACGATATTTTGTGGGGCAATAGGACGTCTGCATAGTTAATGTGTCTTTTTAAATGTTCGAAACAACTTGTCACTTTATATATTTTCTCAAGAAATTTCTCTATATGTACAATTAAAGAAGGGGAAAAGTTGAATCATTTTGGTGGTTAAATCAATGACCATAAATTCTTGTTTAATTATCTACTTTATGAGTAATAATGTTGTTGATAATGTGGTCAAATGGATCACCATAATTCGTAGATTAATTTTATCCATTATCGATAGTGATGTTGATAATATGGCCAAATGGATGATCATAATTCTTAGGTTTATTTCCTCCTTAATGATTAGCATTTCTAAAAGTTTAATGTAATATTTATGACACCTTTTGATATTTCTAAATGTAATTCTATAAATTGTGATGTTGCGAATAATGTTAAAGACACTTGATAGAAAAAAAGTGCATTTTATACTGTTCCCCTTATCTTATATTTCTCTTTATATTATATTGTTGTTTTGTTCTTTTAAGTTTTACAACAATTTAGGAATACTATCAAATACAGTCAGTATATAGAGAATAATGTAAATACTGACATGCAACTCAAATTGAGAAACCAAGAAAGAAAGAAGAAGAATTCCGTTCGAGCAATGATGAAAGCTACAAAACCAGAGCACAGTCAGAACTTTGAACACAAGATTGAATGAAAAATCAATTGAAGCAAAGTAATTGGTTTAAAGTTGCCGAAGATTCACATACAAATATTATACATGCAAATTGAAATTTATTACATTCATTTTTGTCAAATTCAAAATCCATCCTTCATATTTTCTAGAATCTAACCAATTTATTGCATCTATGTGTTTCTTACTCCATATTAGTGAAAAGTCTAAGGAAAGAAGAAGTAGAAAGAACTCACCAAATAAGAAAGGCATAATACATATATTATACCCTAAACTTAGCTTTAAATTTTAACTTTGACTTTCAATTTTCATAGTGCTCAAACAGACACTTCAAATTTTAAATCAATAAACACATGAGTCCTATATGACACAATACACGTAGAACACCACGTACAACAAAAAATGACATGTAGGACATGTGTGTCTATTTATTCAACTTTATACAAATTCAAGTGTCTATTTGTGCACATTCAAAATTGAAGAACATAAATGTGATTTGAAACCAAGTTAAAGGACATATAAGAAAATTGAACCACATTATGAACTCAAAAACTATGAAATCAACAAAGAAGATGCCTGGCCTAATTTTCCCTTCCATGTATTTTAATAGCCAAGCAGATAATGTCATGTGTCTTATGTTGCCATTAGTACCACCAGCTCATGTTGTGTTCGTCCGGCCTTTGTTGGCTTATAAAATAGGGTTTTAATTTTTACATATATATATAGAGAGAGTCATAATGTATAACTCAATTGTAACATTAAGATTAATTTATGGGAAAATTATATATGATAACAAACGAATAATCTAAATTAAATGGAATAGCTAGAGTTTGATTTAATTGTGCTCCATAGCAAACATTAGCTAAAATTTGCCACCGTCTCTCTTCCAAAAATCTCGCTCGCCACTCTCCATTCTCGCTCGCCTCTCTCGCTTTATACACAGAAGTGTATAATTCTATTTCTGTTTTGTATAAAGCGAGAGAAAATTGTTATATACACATGCAAAAATGTATATCTTCGTGTTATACACTTAATTATACAATTTACAAACATTTTACTTCAAATATTGCAGAGAAAAAGGCCAACGAATTATACAATTGCGAATTATATAATTGCAGTGAAATACAATTTTCTCTAGCTTTATACAACAGAAGTGTATATATTGTGTTTCTGTTTTTTGTATAAAGCGAGAAAAACATATATCTTCTTACTATACACTTATAATTATGCAATATACATACATTTTAATTCGATTCAACTGTATGCAAAACAAATTATACAATTGCAGCGAAATAGGCCAACGAATTATACAATTTAGGCCAGCGAATTATACAATTGTATATGTATAGCAAATTATACAGTTTTATGTTTGCTATGGAGCGCAATTATGCAAAGTTTGCTATAGCATACAAATATAAATTTTTTTGTTTGCTATATGTGAAAGTTATCCTTAATTTAATTGTATTTCTGCGCTTGTTTTTATACTGGCACACTATTATAATTTACTAGCAAATTATAGAAAATGCATGTGTGTGATGAATACTGAATGGAAAATTATTTTACAAGGAAAAGAGACTAAAAAAAGTTTAGCAATATTTCAGCATTGAGATAGAAGACGATGTTCGAGTAATGAATTTATTTATTTTTTTCTACAGATTCAGAGATGCAATTGTCATGATTTTATATAAATAACTTATTAGTCGAAATTAGGAGGTCCAACTTTTGTTAATAATCATTTCATTTTTTTTCATGCCAATTACCTGGAACGTAAGGCTTCTAATTAATTCTACATTCTAATTATTCCTAGTTGATTAGAATAGTGATACGGTTGCAAGTAACTATCAAGAGAACTAGTGATGAACCGAATACATTATCAAAATAAAACCATAGCTTTCTCGTTATTGTCCTCCAGGATATTTACAGTGATTTAGGGTTTCAACTTGGTAGGATAAAATAATATCTGCATTAGCTTTCTATATACTTAAAAGCAACATGTCTATGCTATTTGGTATATGGCAAATTAAATATGGTGTTAGCAATGCAAGGACTTGTAATGCATGCATTAGCACAGTAAAGATATACAACTAGCCTTAAATTTTCTCCACATTCTTTCAACCATAGTTCCGGAGGGTATTTTTTAAAAATTATATGTGGAATAATTTTTAATTTTAGCATAACTAATACAACATTGTACTGCTGTAGTATTACTAATACACCCTATTCAACACTATTCTCATCTACGAAACAACCCCTTAATGATTACTTTAACACTAAATTGCATAAGAGAACATGCTTGACTAGATTTTTGCAAAAGCTTGAGTAGATATTAAGGTTGATCATACATTTTAGATATAAATTGTAGCTTAATAAATTAAACTATATATATATAACTTCACGTGGGGAGGGGATTAACTTGGCGTACTTGACCATTTGCTTTTGTTGTTTTAAAAATTGGTGATGGAATGTTTCAAAGCAGTTTCCTTCTACAACTTGCCTCATAAGAGTCACTAAAGATGAGACTTTGGGAGAAGTAAAGCTATAAATTAAGAATTATTTTCAATGGGGAAATGAATGTAAAGACAAGTAAGATGCCAACATCTTAAGCAACCATGACCTTAGACCAAATTCCATCAATTCTCTGCATTGGTTTTATACACTCTTGAAAGAGACTTACATGAGTGAGACATTCAATTTCGTCTTTGTATTACATATGTAATATGGTTAATTAGTTCATGAAGAAGCCTCCCCCACCACAACTTTTTTTTTCTTTCTTTTTGAAGAGAAGAGCGGAAGTCTTAGTAACTCATCAGTTGGTTGATTACCTGAACGAGGATTTGTTTCCCCTCCCTAATTCCCCTACCCGCAATTTTAATAAATAAATCAAAAGGGAGTGAAGTTCCCTATAAGATTGTTTACATTATTATTAAAGGGTGCCTTTGGCTTCCTCTTAATGCATATTGAACTCCACACGCCAAGGAACACCTAAATTATACAAAAGACAAAATTAGCTGGCAGGACTACTGACCAGCTAACAATTCAACTACATTTTCGTATTTCCTTACTTTTAACTTTTCTAAAACTCAATTAATTAACACACCTTATGATCATTGTTACAGTTGCTAATCAGTTTCAAATCTTCAACATACAATTTAGATTAGATGAGAAAGCCCCTTAAAATGTCAAAACAAGCTTAATTAATAGATTTCAATATATGTACCTACGCCATTACATATACAATTTTTATCAATGATTATATATCTTAAATTTGCAAATATATTATTCTAAACTAAGAAAAAGTAATGAACATCATTTAATAACAAGATCAAGTAATTTTACACACATTTGAGATACTACCTTTTTGCTCCTCAAATCGATTTATATAAAAGGAAAATTGTAACTTACAGATAAATATTGTACATCTGAATCGAATCAAATTATTTCTGGTCAAAAAGAATCTCTCTCTAATAACAACTACAAATTGTTACTGTTCACTTTGTGTGATTATCATGGGATTAAACGAAAATTATTTATAGTTCTATGAATGTTGAAGAGGAAGTCAAGTCTTACCGTCTAGTGGTATTAAATAGTAGTTTCCACACAATAGCTAGGTAGGGGTTTCAATTATCACTAGAAATTTGTCCTTCACATTTCCTAGTGTAATAAAAATGCTATGAAAGATAATTAATGAGGAGAAATATATTTAATCTTTTTCTTTCTTTATAGTAGTGATTCATTGTAACATAAACATGGGTATGATAAACTTATTGTGCCATTAAAACAATTTATTGCTTATTGTACTTAATTTGATTCTTCATTTTGCAATAAGAATAATAAACAAATTTAGCCAAAATAGGATATATTATTCTCACTGGATATGTTGCTAAATTCAGTGGTGGTTGTTGAGGGTTGAGTGTACATGGTTGCATCATGAGTAGAAGATATCGTTGAAGGTAGAATTGTTACTGGTGGCTGTGGCTGTGGTGGTGGTGGAAGTACTGTGGCAATGGATACAGCTCCAGAAGATAGCAATGACGGAATGAGTGTAGTTGTGTTGTATTTTATTATCTCCGCCCTAATAACATTCAGCTCCGCTTGTAATGCTTGAACTTGCTGTTGTAGAGAAGAAATCGCTCCCATGCACCCGTACACCGGATCTCTTAACCGTACATTTGCTTCATAAACTAAGCTATTAGCTGTATCGGCTCTTTGGCTCTCAGGTACTTCCTGAATAATTATTAAATAAACATAAGATCTCTTTTTTTTAAAAAAAAAATGAATTGGTGGTACCTTCTTACCATTAGCATCTTGGAAACATTACTAGCACCAAAAACCTTGTGAACAGAAGCAAACTTTTGAGGTTCGTGAGGGGAAAAATAGGGAGAAAATGGACATTCTTGAGCACAACGACGTCTCAAAAGCTTACAAGCAGCACAAGGCGTTACAGTGTTTAACGTTGTGTTTCCTGGAGGCACCAACATATATCTTCTTCCCATCTGCGAGTAGTCATCTGCTTCCCTCTTTATTTTTTTACCTATCTCCTCATATCGCTCCCTGACACAAATATTGTAAAAAAGTTAAAACGAATTCAATGATGTTTAATAGAAAACATATTGGATCTATGATAACAAAGGAAAAGAGAACCATTCTTGCACAAGAAATTAAAATGGACATTTTTTTATTTATTTTTGTGTGTGTTTGTTGGTTGATGAATACCTTTCTCTTGACATTCAGGCATACTATCTGTATACGGAGCTAAAGCTAAAGTAGATTTAAGCAGAGAGGAAAAAAGGGAAAGAAGAGAAGAAGGAAGTGTTTGGATTGGAGGAAGAACGAAAGAAATATTAGTGTGAGATTTGGGGGTAGGGAGGGTACAAAAGAGTGCTTAAAAGGCAAGAAATACAATAAAAAGTTGGTCCAGAGTATACTACTACTTTTTAATATATACAAACTGACTAATAATAAGACCCCCACTAATATAATTAATGAAGTGGCCAAGAGTATTTCCTTTTTGTTCATAACTAGTTGTGGCCCTCTCTGGCTCATGTACGAGGATTCACTTCATATATAGGATTTATTCAATCATCACGGAAAACTCCCTCAATGACATATGAAGGAAATATGTCAGTTTAACTTAACTTCAGTCGTGATCTATATTATTCAATTTCGGATGTACATAAATAGTTACTTAAATTTATATAAAATTAAATAAGTAGACATTTCTATTCTACATATGTGGCGTAATACAAGTAGGATGCCACATATGATACAATATTGTTATGTAGGATATCATTTAAGACAAATATGTCTATTCATTCAAGTTTACGTGTTTACTAGTGTATACCTAAAGATGAAAAACATAAATACGAGCTGAATCCAAATTTAAGGACACATTTACACATTAGAAAGGTAGGACTAATTAAGATTGAGTAGGGTGTTTATTAGTAAATATGCTATAATTATTATTTCGTTAATACTAAAAATTATATATATATATAGAGAGAGAGAGAGATAGATAGATAGATAGATAGATAGATAGATAGATAGAGAGAGAGAAAGAGAGATTATTTTTTATTTTTGAAAAAAATTGAATATCTGAATATTAAGTTTAAGAAGAACTTAATTTATTCCTAGAAAATTAGACAAACCACCGAACAAAAAGCGTCATAGAACTTACCATCAAATTTTCATAAAGATATAATTTAAATAGTTATGGTTCAAGTTATAAACCATAGGTGAAGACAAATATCATGCCCTAATTGCTTAGGGCATGATCACTGGGGCAGATAATTGTTATCAAGCTCGTTGATAGTATAATAACACTTTTTTCGTTTTACTTTTAATTTTCAAAATAGTTTTAATGATTGATATTTACATTATATATATATATATATATATATATATATATATATATAAAAGTTACTCAAGCATATATATTGTGATTGAGCATAATGGGAATATATAAGTGTGCTTGGTAAGTTGAAGGGAAGTTAGTTTCTTGTCAATATCAAGACATCACTTCATTAAAATGTTCATATTCAGGAGCAAATGGAACTTGTTAATTTAATATATATAATTGTTATGTCCTTTAAGAAATAGCAGGTCACCGTCAACATTTTATTATTGATGCTTGTGAGTTGTGATCATGAAAATATACTACTTTCGTTTTACCAAACACCAATAAATCACCAGTTTAAGTCATTAGTTACATTATTTATCCCTTATTTTTTTTTCTTTTGCAAAAGAGACTTTTACTTCTCAAAAGACGAAGAGGGAGTTGCTCGAAAGGTAAGCATCCTTTACTTCCAATCTTTAAGGTTTGTTTTTGAAAACTAGGTCTTCTTAAGCCTAGAAAAGAGATATAGTTAGTGAATATACTAAGTATGAAATATAAGTTTTAAATAAAATATTTGAATTGAAAGACTATTCAAAATTGTCTAACTTTTAAATAAAAGATCTAAAAGTGAAAGACTGTTCAAAACTGTCTATCTATGAAGCCTCTACTATATAAAGATGAGTGTGGGGACAAGACCTATGATTCTTCAAGAGAACTAGTACTAACAACTCATAAAACCGGAGTCTTCCAGAAGCAAGAAACTCTCACTCAAAAGATGACGAGCAGATGAAGTGATCTCAACAGACTCTTATTTAGGATCCTAAGAACCTGTATCTGCATCATTAAAAGATGTAGATCGAATGTCATCAGTACATTGAATGTACGAGTATGTAATATAGGGAATAGCAAATAATTGAATGAAAGGATTACATTAGATATAGATATATACTAAACTGAATGTAAGGAAATAAAAAAGTTAAATTATTTAAAGCTTTACAAAATACTTTCTAATCTCTAAACTCAACATTATAAATGATATGATAAAAATACACTTTTAACTCTATTGGGGATGTTCTGTAACTGACAATCATCACTGTGAGCTACGTGATGATACAACGCCTCACCCAAATCATAACTAACTTTCCCTCGAACAATCTTCTCTCTAAAAACTCCATTGAAGAAGAAAGAAGAACTAGCTCAAGAACTCATCTTTCCTCCTTAATTTCGTGAAGGATATACAATGAAGGTATGATAGTTTTGATTTATGAATATTTTACTTCCATGAAGCCCTTGAAAGATTCTCCAAAAAATTTCTTCAATACCTAGGATTTTAAATCTATGGCATGGATTCACTTTCAAAACGATTTCAATGTGTTTATTTTCTCATATTATGTTCAATATGACGAATTACTACTGTTTTCCTTAGGAATTATCTAAGGATCTATGATCTTTAGGTTTCCCTAACTTGGATATTGAAGCATTAATATGAGTCTTTATAGTAGATTATATTCGAATTATGAATGTGGTGAATTGATTACTTGACTTATGTATTAATTAAGAAATTTATATAGTTTGATGTTGATTTTCCTCCAAGATCCCATGAACCCCTATGTCCCCAATTTGTGACTACCTGATGTGGGTGAGGTCTGGGATTCGAATAGTATGAGATTTTTATGTAGTAGTCTAATTAATTAGATCATGTCACCACCTATGTTTAATGTACTAATTGTAGAGTGATTGATTGATTCTGATCTATAGCCCTTGAAGGGTAAAACCACAAGAATTAGTTATGTGTATGAAACTTGTGTGCATTCAATTAGATTGCTTTGAGAGTAAAGTGAATACATTATAATCTAATCGTTGTGTTGATTGGATTATTATCCTTACTTTCACACTTAGACATGAATACCACACAATGTGAAAGGTTTTTCACATTTGGTGATTCCGAGGTTTGGAGACTAGTCTCACCCATTGAATTTAGGAGCTTTAGTATGAGTTTTTTTGGTTTAGTTTCTAGACATTCTTCCTCAAGTATAAGGTTAAGTCAAGACTTAATATAAACTCAATGGGAATTATGCTTAGTATCGAGTTGATATTGATAGGATATGGAATCCCTCACCCTAGTAGAGGTCGGGTTTCTAGAAACAATCTCTTGGGATGGAAGCCCCCATGTTAGTAGAGGCCAGGTTTTTTAGTAGAAATATCCTTATCCCATAAACTATGTGCCCCCATGTATTACTTAGCTATTGGTTTCACTCAAGATAAGATTGTTTGATTCTACCATAGCCAAGTAGACCAACCCTTTTCGGTGTGGGAGTCACTGGATTCCATGATAAGGTCTATGTCGGTCATATCTAATTCTCACAAGGTCAAGTTTAGGATAAGCTACAGGTATTTAAGAAGTACTACTTAGTGTAGGTGAATGTCTGAGACTTTATCTATGCATTGCACTAGTAGGCTTTAATAGTAGTTATGGTAAGTTCTTTTATCATGATTATTCGTGTAGTGGTTGTAGTTGTAACTAGATGGTAATTGCATTAGATTGTAAGGCTACTTGTAATGTTGGATGTTAACTTGCATTGTTTCCATGGGTTGCCTTTGTTGATATAGTTGACTAAAAGTAAATATTCCTTGTCTATGAGAAATAGGCTAAATATGAGTTAGAAAGATGGTAAACATGAATGAGGATCTAAAGTGACTTGCTTAGTATAAAGAAATTATGGGGTTTTACCTATACAAGGCACAAGTTCTTCTTCAGGTGGCTCATGAGGTTTTTCTCTCCTATTATACTAAAAGTAGATTGGAATGACTATCTATATGCTTATAATGGTGTTTCTTATACTCACAAATTGTGATTGTTAATTAACATGTTATAGCCTATGTCTTATTATGATGTCCCTTATACTTATGAAATGTGTTTCCACACTAGTGTCACGCCCCGAGTCTACACCTTACACGTGAATGACACCTAATGACCATTGTTGGCCTTGAGCAAACCCTTGGTCTGGACGAAAGAATTTCTCAATGATAAAGCAAGAATATTGTCCTAAATAACTTAAATTAATTATCTTGGCCAAAATGGCACAAAAGTCTCAAAATAAAATATATGTAGATAAAGAGACTCAACTGAATTAAATGACTGACTATCCGTCTATGAAGCCTCTAAACATACTATGATGAATGTGGGGAGAAACCACACAACTTTCTAAAAATGAAAAAACTGGAAAGAAATAACAAGGATCCTATGGAAAACAAGTAGGCTAACCACTGACTCTAAGTGCTCAAACTGGATCAATGAGGCGCTGGGTGTTGAACCTGGTTACCTGCGTCTGCATCATAAGACGATGTAGGCCAACTGACATCAGTATACTGAATGTACGAGTATGTGAGTTGGAATTTTAAACAACAACTTAATCTTGATGAGAATAAGATGAACTTACCTTGGCTATGCTCAACTCAAGAGATACTCAACTCAATGTATGTATATAAAGAAATTTAAAACACATGCGATATATATTAAGCTTATAAAATAGTAAACAACTTAGTTTATTGAAAAAATGCAATAGTAACTCAACTTTACTTATATATGAAAGTAATATATTTATGTGGGAGATTTTCTAACCGACAACCACTACTATGAGCCTAAGTGATGATACAGCGTTTTGGCCACGCTGCGAGAGCTGTCTTGTACTTTGTCATCGTATAGAACTCCTTAACTTAGTGAATCCACTAGCTTAACTTACGTGATCATCTTAAAAGTATGACCCGTTAACACCCATGATGGCTACATGGTTTACATGGGTACTTGAGTTAATATGAACTCTTATCCCTACATCAGTGCTAAATACTACTCTCAAAATATACTTTAGCTCATTCTTATAAAATAACTTCCTTTATTTGGGTTGAGATAATTGTTTAACACTTATGTTTAAAAGCTCTTTTGGAATCAATGTTCCATTTTCTTGTTCAAAACTCTTTTGAAAAATCTTAGTTTCCTCTTATTTAAATGTAAAAACATTTAAACTTTCTAGGGAATACTTTGTTCCCTTATATCATTTGAGAATGAACTCAACTATTTGCTCTTTGCTTGACTTAAAACTTTTTAT